GCCAGCGGGGGCTGCGCGGCCTGGTACTGCTGTGCCTGCTGCTGCAGGAGCTGCAGCTGGGTTTGGCCGACGTGATGCTGCGTCTGAATCTGCTGCTTCAAGTCTTCGAGCAGGGATCCGGCCATGGCCGTCATGCCGGGCATCCCGAACGCGGCAGAGCCGGGCAGGCCCAGCTCCGGCCCCAGGCCGAACTCCGTGCCCGGGATGTAGAAAGGGAAGAGGAACTGAGGCTGCTGGAACTGCAGCAGAGCCTCGGGGGTCATGGGGAAATGCGGCAGGAAGGCGGGGTTGAGAAACTGCGGCTGGAAGAAGGCCGCCTGCTGCTGCAGCTCGTGCTGGAGCTGCATCTGGATCTGTGCTGGTGACTGCGGCGGGTGGTGCGGGGGCTGCGCGGAGAGGAGTTCCGGAGTTTGCTTTTTAGTTAATTCTTTGGCATCTAAGTGGGTATCTTTGCTGCTGACGGAGGCTAAACTCATGGACTCCAACATCCCTGGGCCGGGGCTGCCCACGCTGGCTGCGAGGCCGTGGCCGCCGGGCTCCAGCTTGGCGGCCCTGGCCTTGGTCTGGTGGAGCACCGAGCGCATGTGGATTTCCAAGGTCGAGCTTTGGCTGTAGGCGACGTTGCAGATGCTGCACTTGTAGGGTTTGTTGTCGGCGCCGCTGCTGGTTTCTTGAGGGACGGGACTGGAGGCCTCCTGCAACACCTTTTTCAACTTATGCAGATGAGAAACGGAATTATAATGGACCAAGAGGATGTTCTTCTGGGTGAAGGACTCTTTACACACTGTACATTTATACGGGCGGGAAGGGTCGAGGAACTTTTCCATCGTAAAGTTGGGCCCTTTTCTGAAGGGCAAGGTCCGCTTTGGTTCAGAGCCCATGTCATCAGGAATGGAGCTGCTGTCACTCCCCACGGGACTCGCCTTCCCCTCCTGGTCGACCTCGTACTCCCTCTCCATTTCCTGCTCCAGCACGTGGTCGTCCGGGGCCAGGGCCTCGCTCTCGGCCCAGAGCTCTCCGTTCACGGGCAGGGAGGCGTACAGCTGCTGGAGCTCGGCTTCGCTGAGCTCGGGGTGGCCTCCTTCCAGGTGTTTTTTTAAAGCCTGGAACGTGCGGAAGCTCCGCTGGCAGAGATTACACATGGTGGCGGCCCGGATCGCGTGGTACTGGGAATGGATCTGAAGCTTCTGCATCGTCTTGAAGGCCAGGCTGCAGTGGTTACAGCGGTACTTGTACACGTGGCGGTCGGAAACCGACAGCGGCTGCCGCTTCTGCTGCTCACTGAGCGGATCCGATAGGGTGTCGGGGATTTTCACATCCTTGCTGCCATTTTTGTTCCATTCGGACACATCCATGGCTTCCTTAGCTGGTTTCTGCTCCTCGCTCTTTATTTCCACGCTGGCCTTCGCATCGTCAAGACCTGCCATACTTTTGTCATCCATTGGACTCTCGCCTGTGCGGGAGAAAGCACAAACAGATCGCTTACAGGGAGAAGGGATACAGGCTGATAAATATTATAAGTCGGAACCTCTACAGGTTTCTGTTTAATTGATTCGTTAGAGAAATATTTATTGAGCAACTACTACGTTGCAAGCATTGTGAGAGGCACTGTGGATACAAAGGTGAATATCAAATCACCTCTGACCTTGAGGAATTTCAGGATACGGAAGAAAAGAACTCAAAGGTAATTACAGTATGCTGCATACACTCAGTGTGACACCAAGGGCCAGGCCTCAGTGTCCAGGAATTAGAGCAAAGAATATTCTTGGTCATTGACACTCAGCAGTGACAGACAGCCAGACACTAACTATGCATGGGAAACTATGGCTCTTGGGATATATTTTTCCTCTGTGCCTTTGTTCTAACTCTTTGATAGTAAAACCTTGGCACACCACCACAAACGCAAGCCTGGAAGTGTGCTTTCTGCAGACCACAGTCACAGGCGGGCATACCTGAATACTTCCCCGACCCCTCGGCTGTGCCGGCTGCAGGTGTGTCCCGCTCTGATTTCTCAGAGGCAGCTGCGGGCAGCAGCAAACTGTTTGGCATCATCACATCGGGCACAGGCACCTGTGAAGACCAAAGGGGCTCATGTCAAAGGTCCCCCAACATTCAAAAATGCCACCACAGCTGCCATTGGGCCAGTTGCATCCCACTTAGATTTTTCCAGCCAAAGCAGGGTCACTTGGTGGCTCTTACAGGCCACTGCTCTCCCTTCCAATTTCAGATCAACACCATTACACTGCTGTATTCTTTCTTTCCCTTTTTAAAACTCTTTTTGTAGGTCTACGTCTTTATCCTGATACTCAAAGTTTGGAACTCAATGTGTCCATGTGACTCATCTTTATAACATTATAGATATAAACACGAGACGGTAAAATATGTGTTACTGAATAATCTATGCCCGTATCATATTTATTTTTCTAGCAAAAGAGACAACAGAGGGGCCTTGGACTGTGATTTCTATAACACAGTCAGGGAAACAACTTTGCGTCGCGAAGAAGAAAAACATTCCTATGGACCGATAAGTGCAGATTTGGTGTTGCTACCTTTCCAGAGATTACGTCACACGCACATCAACACGTGGGGTGCTTACTGTCATGAGCAGCTTCTCCACGCAGTCCGGGGAGACGCTGTGCAGGTGCGTCAAGTGCAGCTGCAGGTGCATCTTGTTGCTGAGGACGTCCTGGCAGAGGGGACAGCAGACGACCGGCTGCACCGAGTGCTGCGACAGGACGTGCATCTGGATGCGACTTTGGTCCCTACTATTGTAGTTACAATAAGGACACTGATAGAACTGGAAGACAGTGAATAGACATGGCATATGCTATCGTTAGTCTGGGGGCTTCAGAGCATCCGCAGGAATACCGAGGGCTCCTCTGTCACCAATCACATTTGTCACCATGCTACGTTTCACTAGCATGGGATCCTTGGGGGCTCTAACACTACCAGGAGCAATAATAAATAAATTAAAATTAAAAATAGGTTTACATAGCAAAGGGAGGAAAAAATGTATTTACCTGTTCGTGACAGAATTTATTGTCCTCTGTAGCTTTCGATCGTTTTGTTGTGACATCTTCTTCCTTTGCCAGCAGGAGTGGCGGGGTCACCCCCGCCACAGTGACTTTCAGCTCCTTCTCTGGTGTGATTATTCCTGATCCCACCCCCAAGAAAACAGAACGTGTCAACTTCAAAAGACTAGCAACGTCAAACCTGACAGATGCTATGTTTTTCATCTAGCTGACTCTAAACCCACGGAACCAAAAGGAACTGGACAAGCACTTATAAATGATGCTAATCTCAAAAGGCAAGATGCACACTTCTTTGTGTCCACCGACTAAGTGGACTTTATAAATATATTTTAAAATGTACTCCTGTCTCATGTTTAGATAACCCTCGATGACCTTGAGAGACTCATCAATAACACGTGCTCACTGGTGTCTCAGGCTGCCTTTATCACATTGAAGCAAATCTACTCCCATTCACAAATGCTAACTTAGAAAATAATTCGTTTTACTCATGTTTAATTGCCTATCTCTTTTGTAAAATTCTTGATCACAGGAAACATTTCAAAATTCTGAGAAGAGCTAACTACTTATAATTCAGAAACAAAGACAGCATTTTTATGTGGCGAATATAGGACTTAAACATTAACTATGCATGTCTCCTGCTGTTTTTGTGATTTACTCTTTGCTTTACATGTTAGGCTGCACATATAACATTTATAGTTCACATCTCAAGAAGATGGCTGTTTTATGAGGTTAATCCAAATATTCAGTGTTAAGGGGGTTTAAAATTTTGCCTAGATAAGCAATGTCACGTATAGGAGCCTCACACACGTCAAAGAAAAAGAGTGTGATTCTAATTTCCCAATCTAACAGAAAATTCTTTCCAGCATCAATTTTCCCGATAATCTCCTCTGTGAGGCTTGATATTACAGCGACATTGGGTAGGCATGTCACATACATCTCACGACAAACACAAAACCTCATTTACCAGCCATTCCAATCTCATCATAGCACGGCGTCATCTGACCTTTTTTCTGCTGTTTATTATGAGTATTTCTAATTTTAACTTTCAATTTTCACCATCTTCCAGTCAATTTGCAACTAAATTATTTCCAGGGTGAGGATACTATCACTGGACAACTGGGTGCAAATACATGTTGAAATGCAATGAAGCTAAACCATTGATTGCTATCAGCCCCCGCGTGAATATAGAGTCTGGGCGTAATCTGATTGTATGCTGTGCATGAA